TCAATAATCTGTGGACCAGCTCTAGAATTTCATAGTTTAGTTGACTGAACTTGCTTAAACCAGCTGAATGGTGGCTATTAATAGACCAATTTTGACCCAACAACCTTGGAAATCTGCTTTGTGGCCCCACGATATTAATTGCATTTTCATCTGATTATTATATATTTTTTTAAAAAAATAAGAAATATATTTTCAGATAATCTTTTTACATTTTCCATTATATTATTATTATTATTATTATTATTATTATTATTATTATTATTATTATTATTATTATTATTATTATTATTATTATTATTATTATTATTATTAATTTGTCAAGAATCATCCATCCATGAATGTTTCATATCATAATAAACTTTCAAACTCATATCATATTATAAATCTGAAAGACAATTTTATTTAATTAAAGATTAATAATGTTATTATTTTGATAGATTATTTATTTATTTATTTTTATTTACATAAGTACATATAATTATTTTTAATTTAATAAATAATATGAATATAAAACCAAACATGATAAAAAGATGACTATTGATAATAAAATGAAAAAAAAAGACTCTTAACTCTTAAAATAGATTTATAATTTAAACCAAACAAATTGTTTCATGATTTTTAAAAAATTAATTAAAATTCAGATCTACACAACCTAAACACCTACACATAAAATTATAAGTAAGTGACACATAAAATTACGAATCATAAGAATCAAAATTGATGTTACCTCTGTTTTTTATATATATTTTTTTAAAAAAAGTACATTGTGTATTCAATTTGAAACAATTACCCAATTTAAATCATATATGAAATTATTTTGTGATCGAATTTTCAGACTATATATACATTAGTTTCTTCTTTAATTTTGCATCATATAACTTATTTTTCAAAATAGGTTTAAAACAAGAATAGAGTCGTGTAGAATATTATAATATTTGGTTTAAAAATATACGGTCCGTTACGAAACTATTATGTCGGGGTTCATAATCGTTAGATCAACTATCCTGATGGACTACGGTTATAAATCTCAACAGAATAATTCCGTAACGAGAGCGTAGCATTTCCCAATAATATTATTATAATTAGTTACAAATACAGAAAAAAAAAAAA